GAAAGTTGAATTACAAGTTAGTCAGCGCACAAACTCGGTTAATAGACGCTCACGAACAGAAATCGCGGTAACCGTACGGCGTTCCATCACTTTTGGTTTGGAACGCGCAGAGAACGCATAACATCAACATAAAACACTGTCTTTATTTATCATATTTATTTAGCCTGTTCTGAGTATTACAAATATACCTCCGAACATTAGGAGTTTGTTTCAAAAGTCTTTAAGGAAAGACGTATAAAAATAGAATTTTGTTTGCTGAGGACCAACCTCAAATGATAGCTCGCTCAAATGTTCTTCTTTTAAATCCTTGAAAAAGAACCGTGAAAGTCATTGTACCCAATGACCACACTGTATAATGCGTAATTAGTATGAAATTATTTTCTGTGGCCTTTAATTACAAGCTGGACATTTAGAAAATAAACTGCACTGTTGAAAGTCACACCGTTTACTAGTGTTCGTTCTCATCTCATCTGTAATATGCCTGGGGTCTATTAAAAATGGATGAATTCCATACAGCGGTCTGAAATGGGCCATTTCATGTTTTTGTGCAGTTGGTGGCACATCTCACATAAAATCATGAGACTCAGAGCATCACCATGCCATGATGCCAATGTCACCTTCTACCAGAGGTGTAAAGAGTACCTAAAAACCATACTTGAGTAAAAGTACAGATACGTTACAGTGAAAATTACTCCACTACACGTTACAAGTCACCAATTCCAAAACAACTTGAGTCAAAGTCTTAGAGTATCTGATTTTAACAGTACTTAAGTATTTTACTTAAATATAGGCTCAAAGATGCACTAGTCAAAGAGACATGCCAGTGATAAACTGTAACGTTGTGGAGAAGCTTCGGAAAACAGGCAGAGGCAAGGATCTATGTGCTGGTATTTCATGTAAAAACTAGAACAAACAATAAGGCAAAACCCAAAGGGAACAAAGAACAGAATGACTGGCAAACAGACAACCATTACATTCAACAACTCACAAGGAACTAAAGAAAAACTAGGGCTATATATACACACGGGGCTAACAATCTTAACAAGATAAGACACACCTGGGGAGACTAATCAAGGGGAACCAATGAACAAACGGACTACAAACTGACTATAAACACCACGGGAGACAGGAAGTTACATAAAAGTCCAGGACAAGGCACAGAGAGCATGAAACAAAAACAAGAAAGAGTTGACTTGTGAGGAGAGCAATCACATTTATTTTCTAAAACAAAAATAAAACTGAACACCTCAAAATTACGAAACAAAACAAACAAAAAACAATATCTTTCAAAAAGGTCTCTTCAGTATAATGGATAAATAAAATAATGCGGTGGATGTGCTGGTTTGGGCCTCATTGCTAGCTGCAGTCATATCCTCATCTCATATAGAAAACACCTCTGATTCACAAATACTTGCTAAGGAACTCGCATTCATAAAGTAGCCTTGTTGACAAGTTTGGGTGAGTAAGGGCAAAACGCAGTACTTTCAGTGACCTGTAACAAGCAGTATCACGTCTTTTGTAGCAGAAATAAACTGCCGCACAAAAAGCTAGGTCCATGCAAAATGTGATGTGTAACTGCAACACTCATTTCAAATGTAGTGGAGTAAAGAGTACAGATACTCGTTCATTAATGTAGTGAAGTAAAGAGTAAAAGTTGCTAATATCTTTGATACTCAGTACAACTACAGAGTACCTGAAAAGATACTCAAGTACAGTAACTAATTACATTTACTGCAATACTTTACACCTCTGCCTTCTACATTATATCTTGTACATCTGCCAGAGAAATCCTAAATAAATAACAGTCTGTGCTTGTAACCCATTATTGTGAGTTAAAAAAAAAAAAAAAAAACTGAAATGATCCCACTGCCCAATGGAGATAATAATTTTTTTATGTCTCTTGGAAGGGCATAATCATATTTGCTCCAGAAAATATATGATTATCTCATCAGTAGTTTCTTTTTCCTAATGTAATAAGTTTGCACTGTATATTGCTCTGCCAAATTTTTACTTGCTATTGAGGTAAACTGAAGCAGATAGAAGTTGCAGCAAACTTGAATCAGATGAGGACAAAAATAACATTCAAAATACAGGTTGCTGTCTTTAAAAAGATAGACTTTTCATCATACCGTCATTCAATATTGAAAAGATCTCAGTTAAACATTTATTCACACATCAAAACATGTCTGCTATGCTTCTCATTTAGAGACCATATATGTGCAGTATTTACATTTGATGTAGGCTACTAGTTGTTATTTTTTAAATGTCAACCAGGGGTGGAGATCTCATTTCAATATAATTTTTCTTCACCCCTGATGCCAACCACTGCTTATTTGATGAATAACTGAAGTAAAGAGTGAACGGCAAATGTCACAAAAGCCTCCAGGGCTTTAAAACACACCCTGATAGAGAGCAGTAAACACCTAAACTTCAAAAAGTATTTTAGTTCAAAACTTCAGCATTTATATCTGTTCACTCCACATTGTAAAATGAGAAGATACTGGAGACACCCTGGGAGATTCCTCAGAATGCCACCCATGGTGGCAGTCAAACATCAAAAAATAATACTTGTTTGGTATATATAATCCTCAAGTATCAAGTCATTTATTCATAGATTTAATTGCAAACAGTTTCTCAGTAATCCCATCATAAAGTAAAACACTTTTGCGGCATTTAAAATGTAGACATTTCTTGAGAATACAATACTTGAGGCATCTTTTTTTCAGTGTATGCTTCTCTGGTTATGTAATGAAAAAATGATCAGAGGTCTCCAGTGACTGAGTTTGCTGAGAGATGTTCAAGAGATCTGAATGATGTTTTCAGCAGAACTTGCTCAATACTGCCTTACAGTGGCTGCTCATACAGCATTATATCTTCTACAGTATATATATTCCCATTAAAGCCAAAAATAGAAACACCAGTACTATTGACTGTCTCTGGGAAAGGCCCAAGCAAAAAAGGCTGACAACAAACCCTGGCCCTCTCCCCACAATACAAGTTTTTTATTATTATAATTTCCCAGTAATATTTGATTATTTAAAAGGCATACATATTAAAATTTTGACAGCTGGCATAAAATATTTTATACTCTTTTATAAAATGTGCTCTCTGGAGTATGTGAAGCAGAAAGCGTAGTTATTTCGAGAATTTCTTAAAGTCAGAAGATTCTATAGCAGATGTCAACATGTCAGTCACTCCTGCAGGCCTCATGCAGTGGTATTTACCACAAAAACAGAATGGATACTATAAGCAGAAGATAGAGTTGCAACCTCAAATTGTCCCAGGAGTCAAACTGTCTCGTCCAACTGTAAAAATGCCACTGAATACCAGGAGCCTCAGAAGGGTTCAGTAACGCATTTAAAATAAGATATTAACGTAAACAAAATATGTGATACAAACAGGACTTTAGAGCCAGGAATAACTTGTTTTGGGTGAATTAAACAAAAAAAAAAACAACATTCAGGTAATTTCCCCCAAAAATCAGAAGGCTAATAATAATAATATTATTAGTAATAAGTGAATAAATAACTGTATTTTAGGTATAAAAAGCAAATGATATACACATTTTTGCATTGACATTATTTTCATGATGATAATTAATAAAAAAAAATACTTACAAACATAAAAAAAATCTTCTAAGCATATTTCTGTCTGAGATTGTATATTAAAGAATATTTATCCCCAAATTTCTCTTTATCACATGCACGCATAAATAAATAAATAAAGTCATTTTTCATCATACAGTATCTATCATATAGTATAGTATAGTTATATATATTCATATAGTATCTATCTTATTTATGTCTTTTAATTTTGGGGTGAAGTATGAGTCAGATATTACAGCTTTTGTGAAATTCACCCTTCTACTGTCTAGAAAACCATTTATATACTGGTGCTTTAGAGCAGTGGTTCCCAACCCTGGTCCTGGAGGCACCCCAACACTGCACATTTTGCATGTCTCCTTTCTCTGACACACCAGTTTCAGGTCTTGGAGTCTCTACTAATGAGCTGATGACCTGAATATGGTGTGTTTGATTAAGGAGACATGCAAAACATGCAGTGTTGGGGGTGCCTCCAGGACCAGGGTTGGGAACCACTGCTTTAGAGAAATCATACATTTTGAAGAAGCCATCAAAAGAACCAAAAATGTAACAAAAAAAGACTTTCGGTTTCCAAAGAACCATACAGCCAACCCATGAACGAAAGTGAAAATTGGTTTTTGATAAAATATTTTTTTTGCTAAATCCAAAAGCCATTAAATTACCAGTGTATATCGCGCGATTTAGGACAGATAACAGATGTCATCTATTAAAGCTCTGTTCTCAGAGGTTTACTGTACTGTTTGTGTCCTGTGGCTGCTCATCAGACTGTTGACTCATTTGCCTACTTTCTCCTAAATTTCACTGCTGATCATAAACACACTCGCACAGAAAACACAAGAGAAAGGGTCTTCTGCCAGCAAAACAACACACAGCGAACAACAACATGGCTAAATCTCCAACAAGGAACTCTGAAACCCAACACCAGGCAGCTGCAACTATTTCAAGCTCTTTAAGACCTGTCCTATTTCCACCAGAGAGCATTTATAGATCACTCATGATCCCTACTGAATACAGCATGACAGTGATGAAAAAAAACTAGATGTGAACTCATTCAGGGTGGAGCATTGGCCAGAAATTCGTTTTCAAGTTGGATTGTTCAAAATGTAATAGTAAAAGTCTGATCTGACTAACAAAATGAACAGACACACAATAAAACGTGAAAATATGATGCAGTAAATATAAATTCACTAACACATATGTTGCTGTAAAATTCGATTAGAGTTTTTATATTACTTTGAATATGGCTAGGAGTGCTGCTTATAAATATGATTAAGCTGAATTATGTTTACGTTAAAAAATAACTAAGGCATACTATTTTAGCACTTAATGAACATATTGAAATTCATGTACAACATGTAAGGATTCCAAATAACTTAAGTAAATCATAATTTCACCTACCTGATCGAGTTTTGATAATTTCTCCGAATTCATCCTCAAAACCTTCCTCCCATTGGTTCTGTTGGCTCCCTGCTTCTGCCATGACACAACACAAGATCCAAACTGCCGTCGAATCCTTTAATCCTGTAGTTTTATGAACAGAAAAAGGAAGGAGACACCAAGACCCCACCAATGACGGGAATCGCTGCCCTGCTAACAAACTGAACCTCAAATACAGTACTGAATTTTTGTGAATAACACAGGGACGAGACTGTCTGTGGACAGTTATGATAGGGGGAGACGAGCTGTCAAGGCATCCAGAGAAGCAGAGACAGGTGGCAAATTCTACTCGCCTTAAAATAGAGTCGTTATGAAGGCCTGCTTCATTTCGCTCTCACACACAAAAACTGTTTTTTCTAACAACAAAGGATTGGTCACCATGCCATTTGACAACAAATTACCAATAAATGGTCTTGGAGAAAAACTCAAGTTCACAATTTTATCAAGCGTGACTTACAGTACATTTATTATAGCGACAGTCCCTCCGGAGCAATCTGGGGTTAAGTGTCTTGCCCAAAGGCTCAATGGTTATAGCTCATAGATTGCTCCCTGTGGGGTTGAATCTCTGTATCTTTAGTTACCGCTCCAGACTTTTAACCCCTATGTTACTCCACCTTCCAAAACCTTAAACTTATAATGTGTTTCTTCATGTCTTCAGTGTCACATGAACCTTCAGAAATCATTATAATATGCTGATTTGTTGCTCAATTATTACTGTAATAATGGCTTCATTATTATAATAAAAAAAAAGTGATACATATTTTTCAGGATTCTTTCTCATCTTTGATGAATAGAAAGTCTTTACTGTTACTTTTGCTAAATTTAATGCATCCTTGCTGGATAAAAATATTATATATATATAAAAAAATATATAAAAATACCCAAATGGTGTATCATGAAATGTTTCTTGAACATCAAATTAGCAGAATAACTACTGAAGAATCATGTGACACTGAAGACTGGAGCAATGTAATTCCATCAAATTAATAAATTACATATTACTTTTTTTTAAAGGAGACATATTATGCCCCTTTTTACAATATGTAATATAAGTCTCTGGTGTCCCCAGAATGTGTCTGTGAAATGTCAGCTCAAAATACTCCACAGATGATTTATTATATAATTTTGAAAATGCCTATTTTGAGTGGAAGCAGAAACACGCTGTTTTTTCGGGCCTGTTTCTTTAAATGCAAATGAGCTGCTGCTCCCTGCCCCCTTTTCCAGAATAGAGCTGCGCCATTACAGCTTGTACCTGCTAAAAACATCTGTTTTGGTTCTGATTATCATGTTTATCGTGCTGAAATCATGCGTTTTATACCATATGAGTTTAAACTTCTAACATAAGGTTTTCTGAGAGCACACATCTGAAGCACACGGACAGAAAGCGGCTGTCACAGCATGAGAGTACTAAACTAAGTTCTCATTCACACACAAGTTTACGTTAAAAACACACACGAGTTACAAAAACTGTCGGTTATGTCTGTGAAGGTAAACAGCTGGGAAATAAATTGCATGTTTATTTTAGATCTGTGTGGCAGCAACAATATACATTAAATAAATCTTTAAATCCACTGCTCTCTTGTCTCCTCTGAGGCTGGGACTCTAAATAGTGTTCTGTGCTCGTCTGTGCAGCCAAAGACATAACAGTTAGCATGTTTTGCTCAAACTTTCGCCATGGCATTAGAACTAATACACCGTTGTCGCTTATGAAAACACAATAATGGCGCCGTGGGTGTAAACTCGCATTCGTTTTCAGAGCTTGCAGAAAAAGGCTTACCAAAGCAAAGTTACTGTGTTGATCTTTTTCACGTTTCCTTGGTTGGTAGATGCACCGGGGACCTGATTATAGCACTTAAAACGTGAAAAAGTCAGATTTTCATGATATGTCACCTTTAAATAGAAAACAGTTATTTTAAATTGTAATCATATTTAAAAATCCACTGCTCTCTTGTCTCCTCTGAGGCTGGGACTCTAAATAGTGTTCTGTGCTCGTCTGTGCAGCCAAAGACATAACAGTTAGCATGTTTTGCTCAAACTTTCGCCATGGCATTAGAACTAATACACCGTTGTCGCTTATGAAAACACAATAATGGCGCCGTGGGTGTAAACTCGCATTCGTTTTCAGAGCTTGCAGAAAAAGGCTTACCAAAGCAAAGTTACTGTGCAAGGGGGAATGGCAGAGGATCCCCAAATCCAGGTGTGAAGAACTTGTTGCATCTTTCCCAAAAAGACTCCTGGCTGTATTAGATCAAAAGGGTGTTTCTACTAAATACTGAGCAAAGGGTCTGAATACTTAGGACCATGTGTTATTTCAGTTTTTCTTTTTTAATAAATCTGCATAAATGTCAACAATTCTGTGTTTTTCTGTCAATATGGGGTGCTGTGTGTACATTAATGAGGAAAAAAAATTAACTTAAATGATTTTAGCAAATGGCTGCAATATAACAAAGAGTGAAAAATTTAAGGGGGTCTGAATACTTTCCGTACCCACTGTATAAACAAACTACATGTACAAAACAACAAGCTGACAACAAACCTTTAGTTTACATAATTTTTCCTGCTCATGTGGCCAAGGTGATGGATTTTTTGCTGAGCAATTAATTACATTTTCACAAAACATTAAGACAACCCTTTTCCTTCGAAATAACATACACAAATACAATTATGCATAATAAGACCAAGTGCCTGCATCAAGCTTTAATGCTTCATAGAAACACTTCGGGAGGCATTTTTCAATATACAAGGTGTAGTAGACTGATCAATATGTGCATCCATATGGGATCTGTCTCAGCTAAAAAAAAACACTCTGGGTTTCATCTAGTGAGATGGCAAGAGCATTTGAGAAATGTAAATAAAATTCAATTCTGCTTGATTATTGTAATGGCATGGGGAGTGTAAACAAGTAAATATAATTCACTGGCATGATATCAGTAAAATATTTGATCAAGGAGGAATAAGGCTTTATAGCAGTGTACTTTGTGATTCAGTTAATGGAAATTCAAAAAAAGCCTGTCCGGCTCTTATGTCTTTGGGATTGTTTGTCTTTTGAAGGTCTTTTCAGAGAACGAATAAATGAAATAAACAAAAACAATCTGTTGCCTGCTCACGAAAGCAGCAAACACAGATTCATTAACATAAGAGCAATATAGTTCTAAGTCGGTAAACATGTTTTGACATCCACAGGATTTTTTAAGTAACCCAATTAAACTGATGAGAAGAGAAAAACTAAAATATAAAAAATTGGATTAATAAGCCGTATACCTGCAACAGCACATCTTTCAATAAACCCAGCCTGCAGGCATTGCATCGAAATCACAATATCAGTATTTGGGCTTAAAAACTGCCAAACAAGTAGAGTGCATGCATATAAAATACCTAATACTCTGCTTTTAGAATTCATTGCTGTGTTTGCGAACAGTCTAAAAGCAAAAAAATAATATAAAATAATAATAAAAAAAAAAAAATGTAATATTAGATGCATTTAGAGGTGAATCAAAGTTTAGCAGTCTTTCTAAAAAGACCCAAAGCACCATAAAAGTAGTCCATTCACTCAGAAATATGTAACATTACAATAGCAAAACTGTTTGCTAATAGCTTTTCATCTAAATACAGGCTTTTAAATACAGTCTACTGTGCCGTTAGGTCAAGTGCTTTTATTAACACCTCTGTAATTGCAGAGGACATTCTTTTATGATGTAAATCACAGAATGATGTCAGCTGTGACGTTGTAATAAGCACCGTCCCTGTCAACCATAGCCAACTAGATTCCTCTTCATTCTCCATTTCCTGGACTGTGTCCAGACAGCATCATGATCAGAGAGCTGATAGTTTCTGCTATAAAATCACACTAATGCTCTGGGACAAATGGCAAGAACTGAGTAATTAAAGATCACTGAAGCACGGCTTGTATTTTCAGTTTTTACACATACCCACTGCTTTAGAGCCTCAACCTGATATGTGAATGGACTATTTCTTTGTTTCATAGACTCGTTTCTGTTCTATATGATTTTAATGTTCTACTCTGGCTTAACCTTGGTTGCATCAAATAGTGAAGATAAAAATAGACCGGGTATTATATAAAGTTACCTTCACAAGGAGTCAGCGATCCATCATTCTCACTTGTACCCAAGCAAATGATGTGGAACAACTGCCAGTCAAAGTCTGTATGTTGGTTTTCAATGCTGAAAAATCTTGCTTCAGAAGGAGGATTCTGCAAACATGGTCAAGTCATAATGGTAATAACATTGCACATGTATAATATACTCTCACAAATATAGCTCACCCAAAATTTTAAATGAGCTCACCCATCAGGTCATCCAAGATGAGTATGTTTCTTTACCAGAACAGATTTGGAGAAATTTAGCATTACATCACTTGCTCACCAATGGGTCCTCTGCAGTGAATGGGTGCCGTCAGAATGAGAGTTCAAACAGCTCAAAACATCACAATAATCCACAGGTAACCCAGACAACTGTGAAAAGCTGTTTATATATACACAGTTAGTCAATATATATTTGGACACAGGCACAATTTTTTATTTTAGCTGTTGACCAAAACAAATTCAAGTTACAGTTGTACACTCTGAGCTTTAATTTAAGGGTATTCTCATCAAAATTGGAGGAAGGGTTAAGGAATTACAGCTCTTTAATATGTACCTCCCCCCCCGTTTTCAAGGGACCATAAGTAATTGGACAATTGACTCAAAAGCTGTTTCATATATTTCTGATTATATTTATTTGTCCAATTACATTTGAGCCCCTAAAAATGAGGGGACTGTGTATAAAAATGGTTACTCATTAAGGCATTTTATCGTCAAACCATTGATTCCAGCTGAAATACGAGTCCACTATCTATAACAGGGCTGCCAAACTCGGTCCTGGAGGGCCGGTGTCCTGCAGAGTTTAGCTCCAACTTGCCTCAACACACCTGCCTGCAAGTTTCTAGTATGACTAGTAAGAGCTTGATTACCTGGTTCAGGTGTGTCTAATTGGGGTTGGAGCTAAACTCTTCAGGACACCGGCCCTCCAGGACCGAGTTTGGGCACCCCTGATCTATAACATTGCTTGAATTAGGAGAGAAATATGCTTAGAGTATCTTTCTTTTACTGGAGGAAGCAGTGTTATAGATTATGGACTCACATTGTAGCTAAAAACAGTTTAACAATTGAAGTCAGCTGCAGTA